AGGTGCTAGTTTCAAATCCTTTTTAGTCTGAAATCTGTATGCTAGATATTGAGTAAGGTGGTTTTATTGTTTTTTGTCACTTTGAATAATATTTCTGTTCATGTTAAAAACAAAATCAACTCTCTGTATAAATATATCAGGTGACGTTAAGGCCCATGGGCCTCTTGTTTAATAAACGAACAACTGTGGTCCTACCGGTTTAAACGAAAACGGCCCAGACTTATATTTATTGTAGACATTTTGACAGATAGATGCCTGGTACTGTCAAAATGGATGAGTCATGATCAGGTGTCAGGAACACAGGAAATTCGGGCTAGCGTTTGGGTAACAGTTACCGCTTACAATAACATTTGTATTATCATATTTAATCTTTATTCATGCATGCCCATATAAATTAAAGTTGCTACACATTGAATTTAAACAATATATTAATACATTATATCACTTGATTGTATTTACCTGATATACCACAGTGCAAGCAATTCCAACTTTTGTGTACGTTGAAATTCCTATAATATTGAAAATCTTGTCACTAGCAGGAATTGAGACTCATGGATGATTATGATGATGATGATGATGATGATCTGTCATTTTGAAATGAAGATGAGTAATCCAAGTTATATGCTGTACATGTAATAGGATGAAAGTATAGTGAAAAGTATACAGGTGTTTGCTGGGGGTTGGTCAAACTCACAATCCAAGACTTTCTAGTCGGATGCTCAGTCCCTCATAATTATAACCTAAAGAGAAATTCCCTCTAACTGAATCTAGTAAAATGACTTTGACATTATGTACAATGCATATCCTTACACTGCTCTCCTCTTTTCCAAGTTTTCACTCTCAAAGACAACTATATACAGCCCACTAGGCCAGGTTCTTTTGCTCCCCACCAAGGGTTCTCCACAACCTTTAATATGATTCAGGGTCAAAGGCACCAGTTTGTAATAGGAACGAAGTAGTGAAAAGATTGCATGCATTCGCTGGGGCTCAAACCTTCTAGTCGGACGCTCTCCTGCTGAACTAAAGGGAAACGAAATTCCCTGTAGATGAGGCAATTAAGGAATCTTTGACACTTATTGTACAATGCTCATCATTTATACTAACAACACATACATGTGAAAGATATATAGGCTTTATTTTCCAAGTAGGGTGTTTTAAATATCACAATATACTTGCTTGACTTGAACGCACTGGATATTTGTACGTATACACAATAAATAATTGTTCAAGTATATCATACATTGAATTTGAAGGCAACTTAAAATAGATTTATAAGCAGTCTTTTATATGAAATCATATGATATCATTGATGCTATGTAATGTTTTATAATGATTTCTATAAAGCTGCACTTTGCTTCAGATTTCCTGATCCGTAGTGATGATTGACTAAAGCTACGATGATGTGACGGTGATGATCGGGTGAGATGGGGGGTAAGGCCAGCAGTCTGATGTGGTGTGATCCGACCAGATCACTAAAAGGTTCGTCCTACATCTACAGCTACAAGTTACCTCCCCCTAGCTTTCACTTCAACTGGACTGACCTTCACTACGCAGCCAGCCATGGAAATTTCTCAAGAATTCAAGAAATCATAATTAAATCAGGTTGGTATTCTATATATATATATATACATGTAGTGATAAATAGTTTTAAACGTCCTTGTGACGGTAAAAATATATAAAAAACAAAGCACAAAGACTATAATTCGCTAGTGCTTTCGCCCATCTTGGGGCTCTTCAGGCGATTTTTTTTTTATTTGTGACATCATAAATCGAGTACACATGTACTTAAGACGTCAAAAATAATGACGTCATAAACAAAGTACACATAATACGGACGTCTAGAAATATACATAAATATAGCGGAACTGGACTGGGTAGAGCGATAGAGCGTTTATAGAGACCCTGTCTGGCCTTGAAATTTTTCCACTCCTACAGCATTACTCATATAAGTTGCAGATGTGGTAAAAATTGGAATGTGTTTTAAACTTAATTCAATATTTATGAATAATTCAACACTGAATGCATGATGGTGAGGTTTACAAGTTAGCTCTCAATAGTTCTTAAATATGAAGAAAAGGTGTTTAAAATGTTACTTTTATGGACATAAACAAACTCTAACAGACAAAGTAAGTGTATAAAGGGAGGTAATCCTGTCTTGCCAAAATGGTTTTAATTACATGAAAATTAATTATAGAATCAGTAATTGTGCATAGTGTAATTAGCTTCTTCTTCCAGATGCTGTAGTGTCCATCTATAAAACAGAATCCTGTGTTAATAGAGATTGACCAGAGGTCACTGTACTAGTGTTGTTGTTCATTACATATACCTTGGACATACCTAGCAGTTCTGTTTCATTGTTCAAAACACAAGAATCATTTTGTTTTCAAAAAGATATTTTCCTCTGTTGTTGTAGTTTTGATATGCCTTTATTTAACTCATTCACCCCTGGAATTTCATAATGAACTATTCCAACCTTTGAATTGGAAGAGTTCAAATGTGTCTTCAGGGGTGAATGAGTATTGGGGTATGAGCATCATCTTCACCCTTACTTCTTCTCCTGACTAGGAACTGTTAGTGTGAACCACCAGGACTACTATGGTAAGACACCATTGTACTGGGCTGCCTACAAGGGCTACAGGTCTTGTGTGGAAGAGCTTTTGAAGTGTGGTGCATTAGTGAACATCCACTGTCGACATGGAGGGACAGCGTTACATGCAGTGGTCGGACTCTACCCTGAATGTGCCTTGCTACTCATACAAGTAAGGTTCAAGGTCATCTTAGAATTTATATAAGTAAAATTAAAGGTCACCTTAGTGTTTATGTAAATAAGGTTCAAGGTCACCTTAAAACTCATAGTAAGACAGAGTTCAAGGTCGCATAAAATCTTTTACAAATAAGTCTGATTTCATAGTTATTTAGTAAACATACAAATACGGTTTAAGGTTACTTCAGTATTGATACAAGTAAGACTGAGTTTAAGGTCACCTTAGTACTCTTACAGGTAAGACTTAGTTCAAGGTCACCTCAGTACTCTTACAGGTAAGACTTAGTTCAAGGTCACCTTAGTACTCATACAGGTAAGACTTAGTTCAAGGTCACCTTAGTACTCCTACAAGTAAGACTAAGTTCAAGGTCACCTTATATTAATTACTATTCATGCAAGTAAGGCAAAGTTCAAAGCCTGCATTAGATTGAAGACAAGTCCCTGATAGTTTAATTTGTAATGTTTGAAAGATACAAATATAATTGTAGCTAATAAACAGGAGTAAAAATCCATAATATTCATAACTTGAACACTTTCTGATAGAAAAATATTCCTGTGTGATAGTTCTTGTAGTTTTTAGAGTATAACAACAATTGTGATTGGTAAATTTATCTAAGGACTGTACAAATAATATATCAATATAAAAGTTAAAGTTACTAATAGGGTTTTTTCCCATTGATACAGCATGGAGCTGATGTAAACCAGGTGGACAACTGGGGTGTGACACCTATGTACCTGGCAGCATCCAGTGGTCAACTGGAGGTCATCCGGTACCTGTTGGCAGCTGGAGCTAAACCCTCATTCAGAAACAAGGTAAGGCTGAACAATGAACTTCACAATGGTCATTCGAGCATGAAGAAAACCCATAAATTTGAAGATGCATCTAAAAAAACATAACTTTGAAATAAAAACAGAAAAATTCCAATAGAAATTTGTTTCAATGATCACTTATTGAATGTTCACGGAAAATTTAGGAATACTATGAGCTCTCCTGTCCCCATCCTCGATATCCAGGGGTTTCGCTCACTTTCGCTCTCTGCACCCCTGGAACATGTCATAGCAAAATTGAAGGCTCAGTGTGTACCACCTTGTTGATGAAACAAGAAGACTAGTTCAATCCTTTGATGTACTTCAAAAGAATCTCTTGGTCACGTAACAGTGAAAAATGACAGGCTCTGGAGTCGAGTGTTGCTCGTTTGTAATCTTCAAAGTACAGGTATCAGCTTAGCGATTGGTCAGTGGCTTTTTTACCTGAGACCAATTAAACAGCTATCATCGTTCCTTCAATTTTGCTATGACATATTCCAGGGGTGCAGAGAGCGAAAGTGTAAGCTATAAATCTATGGAGAGTGAGCTTTAGATCTATCTAGTGTGAGCTCTTTATTTACAGTGCAGGCTTTAGATCTATTTAGTGTGAGCTCTCTATGTATTATTATCTTTATCTATATTTAGAGTGTTAGGCTTAGATGTAGGAAGTATGAGCTCTTGAGCTCTATACCTACTGATATGCTGAATGTGATCTCTAGACCTATCAAGTGTGAGATTTTAATCTACTGAGTGTGAGGTTTTGATTGTCTTAATATGTAATTAGCTACATTTACACTAGTTCTGAAGATCTACTTTGTAAACGACCCCCCTTCACCTGTGTGTTTCCAAACATTTCGTTCACAGAAAACAGGTGATATTCCAAAACAGCTGGATGTTCATAAGCAGTTCTGTGATTGGCTATTGAATTTATCCAAGAACCCACCCTCACTCCAACAGATGTGTCGGACCAAAGTCAGAGAGAGGCTCGGTGAGCCGCTGATGATCAAGATGGACACATTAAATTTGCCGACAAAAATCAAGGCTTACATCTCCCTGAAGAATTTCAGCTAGTCTCTGGATCGCTGTTATTATATGGTTATTACTGTTGATGATGTAAGGGAACGTCTATTATCATGTCCTTGCAGGATAATCTTATTGTGACAGTACTAGATTTTTGTGTACTATAGGTATATTAATAAACTTGTTAAAATTGATACAAAGCAACTAAATATTACATAGAAATAAACATAGAAATATGTTTTATATGCAAACCAAAGAAATCATCAACAAGGCAAATGTAGTCGATCATCGCTAACCTTGTCAAGCCTTGCAGTCATCTTCATGCGATAACTTTCATGTCCAGGTTACAACATCACGACAAAATGTAATCAATAGTATATATTTATATGTTTATATGTATACCTGTATATAGAAATAGGTTCATTGTAATAGAGGATGTCACATATTCTTAAAATCAAATGAATAGTTACACTATAGTATTGTGGGATGTGATTGTCAATCTATTATCTACATAAGTGTAATATGCATTTTTTTTTGTCAATTTACCCATTTTTTGGGGTAAAACATATTTGCATTTTCATCAATTATAACATTTGAGAGTCAATATATGCATTTATCTATATGACACATTATTTACTTTTGCTAATTGAATTTTTCAAAATCAAATATGTTGAGTATTATGGTGGAGGAATTAACTTTAAAGTCAACTCTTATAATGTCTTAAAAATATAGAAGATTAAAAAAAAAAAGGAAATTTTAATACATAGACATAATGTCCTTTAGGACATGGGCCTCCAATCTCCTGTTTTGTGTTCAGAATAACTGAACAAGCTGCTATTTTAAATAAACTTACAACATTTGATATAGCATCCTATCTAACTACAATAATATAAGCTACTCTAACTCACATTGATATTCAATACATACAATCAGTAACATATATAAATCAATACAATTTTTGAGGAATTTGCAGGAACTGCTTTACCTAGCATTAACTACTAGCCATATGCCACCTGGCTAATACTTCCAGGTATGTGTATGCCTGTGTGTGTGCTGAAGATGCATTATGATCTGTTTTGCAATTAGACCATGCTTCCAATGGCATCTTTTTTATATGCTTGAATGCTACAGCATAGACACTGCATAAACACCCACCCAGACCATTTTATACTCTATTGCTGGAGTTGTGTGGGTGGGAGAAAAACACTATGTCTTAATATTTCATGCTATAAAGCCTTTTAGGGTCGCATCCTGACTGTTGGCATAGAAGGCCAATGTTATACACTCGACCATGTCTGCTATAATATTCTGGAGTTAAATAATATTATGTGTTCTAATGTCATAAGCATAAACCATTCTAAGCTTTTTGAGGATATCACAATATGCCTGGAGTAGATCACAATATATTGCAATACAGAAGAAATGTATGACGATACAGATCCCAATATTATGTCAAGAAGCGAAAGGTACTCAGTTTGAAAAGAAATTGTTGTGAGAGTGTTATCAAACTGAATCATATGTATTAATTATTATTAAAGACGAATCATAGATTTTTGTTAAACCAACCATTGATTATAAAATCACATATATTAACAACTGATTCCCAACACTAGCAAAAGCCTATTCATGGGTATTTTCCTACCTGTTAGAATTTGTAGTAATTTGAATTGCTAAAACACCTAGCAAATACATGAAATAATTATATAAGCTCCTGAAAAATATTGCGATACAGCGATATTTCATTTCTGTATTACAATTTGATACGATATATGCCTGTGTATTGCGACATACACATTTTCCAATATATTGTGACAACTCTCAGGCTTTTTAATGTTTCCGTTATCACCTGTGTGGTTTGTATAAATGTAAGGTTGTGAACATTAACCAATTGTGGCTTTATGATGTTTCTGCTAATATTGATTACTGTATTGAAATGTAGGAGATTTTTGTCTTGTCTGCCAGTATTTGTTTCCCGGTGTTATGATCGTAAACACTTGTTGTCATTTAATGCCAAGTGGATTTTATATGTTAAGTAGTTGTTGTTATTACCCATATACTGAAAAGTATTTTGTATTAAGGTAAATCTGACGAGTTTCCACTGTGGACACTTTTCTTGTGATAGCATTGACCAGCTCTCATAGAAGATTGAAACGTGCTCTTTGCTGAAGAAACCACAGTATCGTTGTATGCTATAAACTAACATGATTGTTTCATGTTATATTTTGTTTTCCACAATAATTATGTTGACAAATATCTAAAATTTATCAATGTGTATTGAATTGACCCATTCACCCCTAAAGTCACTTTTGAACCTTACTAAAGAAAAGACTGGACAATTCCAGTTTAAATATGTAGGGGTGTAATAGTTAGCTATTAATAACCTTGATTATTAACTAGCAATTTTAGACAGGAGCGATATTGCTTCTTGCTGCAGTTCAGTTTTATTTTTCATTTAGTATTTGCGTGCTAAACCAAGAAACCAGAACACGATGCAATGTATAATATGTGCCTATAAGAAACCATTTTGCCATAGTCTGTGTTCTATTTGACACTTTATTTTCTGTGTCACAGAGAAATATATTTTTGATAACAACGATTGAGCTATTCCTTAAATTGAACATGATGTTGTACTGGTAACATTTGGTAACTTTAACAAATATTTTTTCCCTTTTTTTATTTTTTTTTACTTTCTGGTAAAATCTGCCACCTATACCTTTTGAATTGTCCATTTTTTTATATATCAAACCATAAAAGGTAACCCTTTCTGTTACGATACTGTCATTTTTCAACAGCACATGCCCTGATTTAGATTTAAATGCAGGTCAATGTTCATTGTAACATTGGCACGGTGAGATGTTTATGTTAAACAAATTACCATACATTGAAAAATGACCATGCATGTGAGGCACGTTAGTCTAGTGATAGGCCATCGGGCTCGTGATCAAAGGGTTGCGGGTTCGAGTCACGGCACGGCTCTGTGTTGTATCTTTGAGCAAGATACCTTACTCCGCTTGTTCCAGTCTACTCAGCTGTAAATGAGTACGTGGTTGGGCAGTGCTAGAATTGTTGAATGCTAGCTGTTGGCGCCGATATGGCAGCTCCAGCTGTATGCTCCCCAGGGAGTTGAGAAAGATATTGGCTGGTTGCAAAGGCCCTATAACCACGGCTTATAATTTGTGAACCGCTTTGAGACGACCTACGAACTAGGTTGTGATAAACCGGTACGGTATATAAGAACCTCGAATTATTATTATAATTATTTATTATTATTATGTCTGTGAACAGCACTGATAGTTTGCAGTAAGTTTGTTAAATTTTTCAATATTTAAACTGACCCTGTTCTGTTATTGATGTGGTTGAGTTTTCAGCCCTTTATTGTTATAGCCTGATTAAAGTGTGTACCTCAGGTACTGTACTTTCTGTACTGTGAATGACACACTCCGTCCTCAACAAAATGATGTCTACTTAACATTGTGTCAGTTGTACCATGATTTTGTTGTACGATACATACGGCACAGTACCATATTGACATGAAACATTGATACACATACAAGTCTGTTAGCATGTACTGTATTGGTTTATATGATAGTTTATCCATTTAATGGAAATTGTAATAAAAATTCGAATTTTTGACATCGTACATTTGCATGTCCTCAAGTTATGTGATCAGCTACAAAATGAGGTGTTTGATATTTTGTCTGTATTTCATAGGGTTGAAAATATGGGAATTACAGATATTCTAGATTTTATTATGTGTACCACTTAAATAGAGGTTCCCCAACGAGCGATGGGTTGGTTATCATATTTATCTAACTCAAGTTAGTTAATCTTCAAATTGTATCAAGACACAAGGTTTACCGAGACAATTTGAATATTAACTAACGACCGTTAGATAGACACGATAACTGATCATCACGAGTTTCAGGACCTGTTTCTCCCATAGCGTTAATGATTTATCTGAAAAACCACATTTTCCTCTTTGAAAATACATCATGTGTGTTTCTGATGGGGAAAACAATTGCCATGAAGCATGACGTCACAATGGAAAATGACGTCTGACACAAGCGTTGTTACGTGACGTCATAAATCAAAGATTGACCGATTAAATCACGTCCAGGGTATTACCAACTAGTGGGTAACCAAAAATGTTTACCAACTCCGAGCAGGTTTATCCAATGTGTCATGAGTGAGGAAACCTACAGTGGTTGTGGGAGAAATAACATGTACTTCATAGATATTGTGCTCAAATTCATGTGAGCAAATTTCATTATGTCAATAAAGTGCAGACCCCAAAGTTGTGACTATAACACAGATATTTTTCCTTAATTAAGCGTGAACAGTTTGTTCTTTGTCCTTAATTGAGCGTGAACAATTTGTTCTCTGTCCTTAATTAAGCGTGAACAGTTTGTTCTCTGTCCTTTAATAAGCGTGAACAGTTTGTTCTTTGTCCTTAATTAAGCGTGAACAGTTTGTTCTTTGTCCTTAATTGAGTGTGAACAATTTGTTCTCTGTCCTTAATTAAGCGTGAACATTTTGTTCTTTGTCCTTTAATAAGCGTGAACAGTTTGTTCTTTGTCCCTAATTAAGCATGAACATTTTGTTCTTTGTCCTTAATTAAGCATGAACAGTTTGTTCTTTGTCCTTACTTAAGCGTGAACAGTTTGTTCTTTGTCCTTAATTGAGTGTGAACAGTTTGTTCTTTGTCCCTAATTAAGCGTGAACATTTTGTTCTTTGTCCTTAATTAAGCGTGAACAGTTTGTTCTTTGTCCTTACTTAAGCGTGAACAGTTTGTTCTTTGTCCTTACTTAAGCGTGAACAGTTTGTTCTCGGTCCTTAATTAAGCGTGAACAGTTTGTTCCTTGCCTTTAATTAAGCGTGAACAGTTTGTTCTTTGTCCTTAATTAAGTGTGAACAGTTTGCTCTTTGTCCTTAATACAGCATGGGCAGTTCGATATGTCAAAAAAGTGGAATAACTGATTTAGAAGGCAAAACATAATGTTAAATCTTTCACACATATATGTCAAAAACATCTATTGGGTCAAACTTGTCTCGGATAATTGTGGTGCTAGGAACCTTTCTGACAATACGATTGTACCGTAAGTTGGATATCTATATACTGAGAATACCTTATTTTGTATTAGGCAGTGAAGATGAGTCATTAACTTTGTGTTTCTTTAGATTGTTTAATTTGTAAGCAGTGTTATTTGTTTAGGAATGTCAGTTATCAGCAGCCAGTAAAAAATATACACCCATGAAAAATAATAGTGCCATGAAAATAACCCTAAAAACAGTATAATGATTTTCAAAAATATTCTGTTGCCAATTAATTTACACTTGACATTTGCTGCAGTTGACTATACTTTTATATACAACTGTACAGTTTGATTAAAAAACTTCAGGTTATACTAACCTGTTTTTTTTTTTTAGTTTTATTTGCTACCGAAACATTTATTATATAATTGGTTTGTAAATATGAGTGCATTTCTCAAAGTACACTCTGGTTATTGAGGTTATTTGTGTTTGAAGGGTAACATTCCTGTTTGAAGGGTAACATTCCTGTTTGAAGGGCACTTGTTTATTTGGGTTTATGGTTTAACATGTACGTGTATGTTAATGTTATTGTTTATTCTTATTCGTGTTTGATTTATTTAGTGTTTTATTTGTGTAAGTGTATTATTTGTGGTTTCATGTTTTTTTAGCGTTCATTGTTCCTGTCTCAGATCATCTTTTTTTAGCACACCTAGCTTTAAGTCCTTCTTCTTTCATTAACCCAAATTTTCTTCTCAGATAGATTTCTGCTCAAAAACTACATTGCCATTAACAGCCTTACTCAGTAGATATAATAACCTACATGTAAGTGAAGTTGATCCAGTCATATGTTCAAATGTCTTCACCTTAAGAACTGAAAGTCCTTGAGTCATGATATCCGGCCAGTAGCTTGCTGCCATTGAGTTTTACAGAGAGGCATGGAATGATTTTGTTCCACATTCAAGGTCACAGATGTCATATTTTGTTTTAGACTGAAGCGGCTTCTTCTGAAAAACAAAAAGGTTTAGACTCATGATATTTGTCTGGTTGCATGGTGGGATTAAGAACTAACAACTTTGTTGAAAATATTGAGCTTGATCCATTTTCGTGGTCAAAGATGTTAATTGTGTTGAAAACTTTCAACAAGTTCTGCATATAAAGCAAGAGTTCTTGGTAATTATATTTTGCCTGTGGCCATATTTGAAATCCAGGGTTTCTGTTCCCAATGTACATATTTCCTCTGCACGCTGTTAATATGTCATGACAAAATCAAAAGCTCACTGTTAGCTTTTTGATTGGTTCAAGATATAACAAAAACTGACCAATGGCTTAACTAGGCCTGTAGTATGTTGAAGTAAATTTAGGGCTATAAGATTTGTTTACCTGATTTACTTTTCAAGGTCACAGATATATTTGCCAAAAGCATTGAATAGTAGATGAGTGATACAGGCACATTGGGCCACTTGGTAGTTTTTACAAGATATGCTGACATCATACTTTGAATACACACACATTCTTGCATTTTGTTTTTTTCCCTTTATTTTTATATTCTTCATATAATTTTGTCCACTTTTAATAGTTTTAGATTAAATCATATACTGATTGTTGATTACTGCATGTATCTTGAATTTCAATACAGGTAGTTCATGATCTCCTCTGTAAAGACAAACCCATGGTATTGTGAGGAAAGTTCTCAATAAATGATAGACAAGATCACCATGGTATTGTGAGGAAAGTTCTCAATAAATGATAGACAAGATCACCATGGTATTGTGAGGAAAGTTCTTAATAAATGATAGACAAGATCACCATGGTATTGTGAGGAAAGTTCTCAATAAATGATAGACAAGATCACCATGGTATTGTGAGGAAAGTTCTCAATAAATGATAGACAAGATCAGCAACATTTTCAACTTCTTCTGCAAACCACTGTATCCATTTCAACCGAACCTGGCAAGGGCCATCCTTTCAGGACGAGATGAAAACTTATCAAAATGAAGGCATGATGAGGACTGTCTTAAATATGGAATATTCGGTTCGGAATTATCAGGGATTAGCTGTTTCCACTACATATTTTCTGAATAGATTCTAACTAAGTTTTGTAGTGAACAATCCTTAGCAAGCGGGGGCTCACTTTGTCAACATTGGTGGGCTGACCTACCGCCTCCAAGGTCAAGGATTCATGGTGAGGCACAGAAGGGGGGAGACAGAATATATTTCAACTTTCATCTTAGTAACTTCCATATATTTATAAAGCGCTAGCCGATTATACTAGTCTTCGTGTTTTGTTTTATTTGTATTTTTACCGTCACATGGACATTTCAAACTATTTATAGCTATATATAAAGATATAGATACACATTGTATTGATGTGTGCTTTTCTCAACTTTTATTTCTAAAGAACCAAAGAGAGGCTACACACAGTGGGTAACACAAATAACCATTTTGTGACATACATTCATTGACATTGTTCAAACATAATAACTTAATTTAAACTAAAGTAGCTTCAGGTCTTTGGGGTTAAAGTCTTGTTCTGTTTATGGTTTTGATCCCCAAGATCTACAGTCATATGACCTTTTAACATAAACTTAACTTAACTTCTTTTTACATTTACAACATTTTACAAAGCAATACATAATTGAAATTGGATTTGGAAACAAGAAATCGATATGGACTTCCTGTTAATGGATCTGATATCAGAGTCAGGTGAGTGATTCATTGCCTTGGGAACTCCTATCAGTTATTGTGTTTGATGCTTGAATGTTATTAAGTTTTTGGTAACCGTGGTATAGCCGGTGTACTTAACATACGCTTGTACAGTTTGTATATTGTGTTTTACATTTCATACAATTTTGTTAAGTTTGTCATCAATATTGATTATTAGCTATGCTTCTACACAATACTATGATTTGACCCCTTATATTTGTATCATATAATTATACCTGTGGGACTGTACCCGTCTGTCTGAATATAGATATATTTGAT